TTGTAGAAGCTTGCATTCCAACTAATTGTTCAATAATATCAACATTCTACAACAGTTGGATAGCTATTAATTAAGTTAATGACATCATATTTTTATTGAATAACATGCAAACGTCCATCAATATAATATTTTTCTACCATTATAATATGTTCTATACTGACTATACTAAGTGTTCTATAACCTAGTGTTGTTCTACATAACAAACAGCATCGTAATTTAGTAAGTACCTAGCTATATTGTTTTATTAATTGTGTTTATAAAAAAAATGAAAAAACATTTATAAGTGTATAATATGCAAAATATATAGTATCATGAATAAATAATTTTAATCTAATAAATCAAAAATAAATTTGAAAATAAACTTTTTCCTATTAAAATAACACAAACATGAACCTTCACTATTTTGAAACATAAGAAAATGTTTTAAGGAAGATATATTCATAGAATTTTTAATATATTTAGGATGTCTGTTTATAAAAACAGAATAATATTGAATGTGTCTTTTAAAAATGAAATTAAACTTAAATTCATCAAATAATATTATTAAGGTAATAAACTATATAAAATTAATAATAATAAATAAAATGTATTTAACATAAATATTACAGATTTTATTCAGTTTTATTAGTTACATTTTTTTTTAACTGTCTGTATGCTAACACGGCCGAATCTCTTTCTTTTTCTATTATCCTCCGATCAGATATAGACAATGCTTTGCGTTTGCCCGTAAACGCTTTACGTTGAATCGCACTTTTACTAGGTTTTTTTAGAATGACATCACTTATTTTCTTTTTTTTTGCAGAATTTCCAGTATCTGCTAACATGGACTTTAAGAACAAGTCATCTTTACGACCAGGCTAAAAACAAATATAATCAATTATCAGTAAGTAAGCAATATAATAAAACAAGAATAACAGATTATGATTTTTTTTCTTACTCTATTTTCAAAATGATTAATAACTGCTTTTCTTGGTTTTACAGTTAAATTTGGAGGACAATGTACAGTTTCACCAAATTCAAAATTGTCTTTGACATATTCAGTTGCATGTTCTACTTTATCTTGTGTATCTTCATCAAGTTTTTGCTTTTTTTTCTCTTTTTTTTTATCTCTTTTTAGTTTAGTTTTTAATTGTCTTTTTCGTTTAGCTTGTACTAATTTTTCTTTAGCGGTCGGAACAGCTACAGCTTCAGTAGCAACAACTCCACTTTCCCGAATAACATGAACTTGTTCAGGTTTTTCTTCTAATTCGAATGCACATTTTTGATTATTTTTTGTAAATCTATTCCCTATATCAATGTATGGTTGATTTATATTTTTCAGACTACGTTTAGCTAATTTTTTTAGTTGCATAAATTCACGTAAGCTCCGTGGCACATCTTGACGTTTAGGATCTTTGGGAGGCTCGTTTGTTTTTCCTTTTAACCTGTGTTAAATTAAAAATAGTTAGTTTATACCAAAGGCCAAAGCATAATAAATGTAAAGTTCTTATGAGTAGTATGTAATCAAAAATTAAAAGATCTAGCAGTAGTGAAATAATTTCCATTTTAGTAACTCACATATTTTGATCAGATTTGTTAAGGCTCTGTCAAACAAAAAGCGTTATTTTCACATCGCGTGATTTTGAAATTTGTTACAACACGGCGTTATTCACGCACGAGAAACCACGCCAACGAGGCATTTACCGCTTTAATGCGCGTTATAACGCGATCTGTTTGACAGAGCCTTTCATGTCACTTAGGTATATTTGATTATTAATTTAATTTTATTATTATAAAACATATTTTAAAGAAGTACCTAAGTGTATATAAATTAGAATATTATAAATTATTGAAAAATAATGTTTGTATCATTGATAATAATTAGTAATTACTATAATATAATATACAATGTGTATAACAAGAAACATTTTAAGAAAATGTCAGCTAATGATTCCCTTGCTCAATATCTGAAAGCTCTAGTAAGTAGTGATGTATTGTACTTGAAACATAAGGGAATATAATGCAACTAATAGGTAAATAATATTCATAAAATATGTTCACAATGTATTAATAATTCATACATTGTAATTACCTACTCATTAGTAAATAAAGTTATAACTTATAGTGTTATAGTTGAAGTCAGTGGCGCCGAACTACTTTTTAGTAGGTGGTGCAAACACAAATTTTAACCACCCACCCACCCCTACCTAGACACCCACAAAAATTTTATTTTTAATTAGGTTCAAAGTCAACATTTCCAATAAAACTTTAATAAAATATTGTTTTATACATAAATCAATACATTTATGATCTATCTATAAAATACATGTATATTATGTAGGTATATAATTAATTTTTACATTTTAAGTTTTAACCAATAAGTTTTTTGCTTAGTACTGAACTACATTTTGCAAATACATCAACCACTTCATTATTATCTATGAGCACATCGGACTCACATGATATTATTAACAATGACTCTAGACGATCTTGTTTCATAGTGCTCCTTAACCGATTTTTGATAATTTTTAATTTTGAAAAAGTTCTTTCAGTGGTTACACTACATACTGGTAATGTACAAGCAATACGAAGGGCCATGAATAATGTAGGGAATACATTATGAAGCCCAGCTGAGTAGCATATTTGAAGTAATGTTAATAAGCTTCCTGTATTTTTAACATCTTGTTGTGTCGACAATTATAGTCAATAACTCAATACGACATATTATTATGTTCGTATAGTTAATAATAACCATAGACCTTATACTAATGTCTAATAGACGGAAAATCCAGGCGGGATGCGGGTGGGTGGTGCGGCCTGTGCTACAGTGATATATATATATATATTATATACAGTAATATACAGAGTATTGTATCATCTAGTGCGCATGTGCGGTGTACGGTGTGCTACCTTGATCAGCGCCGAATATTAATAGTTTTAATTTGTAAACATTAGTATGCATTATTAGTAATATTTATTACACTTTGTTTCTACTTTCTACAATTACTTGGCCATCAATTATTAAAGTATTAACAAGTTCGTATTAAGTAGGTACTTACTGGCTATTTAGTGTCAGTTTTTCAAAACTATATGGACCCAGACACCCAGTGGCCAGTACCCACCCACCAATTGTAGGTGGTGCAAATGCACCACCTTAAGTACGTGTTCGGCGCCACTGGTTGAAGTTAGTAGGTACAAATATTATTAGTGATATATTCGTTTAACATCCTTAAATATAAATTCACTGGATTGTATTCAAATTGTTACTGTTTGGCATATGACATTATTTCATAGAGAATTCAAAGAAATAACTATAATATTAAGTTTGTAGATTAAATAAAAAATTCTAAATACTTTTTTAGTTTTAACTTACTCTTCGTTACGTTTGGAGATTTGTTCAAATACGTCTTTTACTCTTTTTTGTTTTTTACTTTTAAATTTTCGTGCCATTATACATGAATATTAATATTAAACAATAATTTAATTAAAATAAAAAATTAAATAAAAACAAAAGCACGTTTGTGTCGTTGTTTTGCCATGTGTGTTAATAATGTTATCACTTATCAGTGTTAAATAATAACAAAAACACGGACTAAGGTCCGTGAACAAAAATTTTCTATCAGCTTCAAGATAAAATAAATATTTATTTATTGATATGAAGTTAGTAACGTTATTCGGTTATCGTCATTATCGTAGAAATACGATTCTATATCACGAATAAACAGCATAAATATAATGACGTCAGGGATGTTGAACAATTTTCCCTGCTATGATTAATTTGTGGGGGTCGGGGGCAGTTGTCCGAAAAATGATAAAGACCCGGATCGAAAGACGGCGGCATAAAATGTATTGCCAACATTGAATTTCTAAAAATTATATTATACAATTATATTTTTGTTTGTGGGGTTTCACTGTTCCACTGAATGATAATTATGGATCACTACTAATCGTACAGTGATGCGGTGCTAGCGGCACTCGTCGCTACGCTCCTCGGCGCCGTCGCTCCGCTCCGCAAATCGAAAATATCCCCCGACTTGCTGTGCAACACCTCCCCAAGTGGGTCACAGGGTTAAGAAAATTGTTTTGTGGAAAATTGTTTTGTGGAACAAATAGTACTTAAAAAAAAATAATTTTTGTTCCAAAAAAAATATTATTAAGATCCACAAATAATTTGTTCCAATTACTATTTGATCCGCAACATATTTGTTCCAATAATTATTTGTTCCACGAAATATCATATCATAGTATAACTTTTATCAACAGAAATAATAATAATAATAATAATTTATATTACAACATTTCGATTACAATGGTTGGCAGTACTTTTTCGATTTTCGATTTTCGGGTCCTTATCATTTTTCGGACAACTGCCGATGCCCCAATTTGTGGATTGATAGCGATGATAAGAGAACCAGACACCCAAGTCGTAGACTCGTACAGTCGTACGAAACATACAATTTTTTGATCATCAATGAGTATAATGGTCTATGACCAAGACCAACTTCACTCATTACATAGTGCAATAATTTTCTTGTAACAAAACTTTAATAATCATTATTTATTAATTAGAAAAAATAATTAAATTGTGTACATTTTTATGTGTAAATATAATTACCAACGTTAAATTTATCAAGTATTTTTTTAGAAAAAATTGTTTTTGAAACAATATAACATATTCTACTTATTTTTAAAATGTGTGTTCCTTTTCAAAAAACTGAGCGCTACCTCTTTGTAATACTTTCATCGCAACAATAAATTGTCAAGCCACATTACACATTTTGCATGGATTTTAACCCTTTGCAGTCACTGGAATTCTTAAAAAGGTAAAAAAAAACTTACCTTATCTACAGATTTTCTACTCTAATTTCAATCCAACTCAATTTTCAAACCTTTATATTGCTTCTTGGTGTTCTTCGTTGTGTTACTATTTGTTAAAATAATAATGTATTTCAGGTTTCGATTATTGCCTTGAAACAACACATGCATTCTACAAGGCCAATTAATTGCTGTGCTGTTGATCAATGGGAAACTGTTTTTCGTGTTTGCGCTCTAAGAGTACCAGTAGACCGGTGGCAGATTCCAGTGACAACGAAAATTTAGATAATGTACCAGACAAACGAGTTGAAGGTGAATAAGCATTGCTTTATTGCTTTAATCAATCTATCAAACTTGTAACTTAAAAATCTTAATATGATATTATAAAATAATAAAAGTATACACAATGATATACTAGTAACTGGTAAGAACTGTTTAGGTGATGTTTTTTTTTCGGAGATGCATAAGCCGAAAATGTTTTAATCCTTGTTGTGTTGTATTTTCTCCACGTTCTCTCGTATTAAAAGAGTATTGAACTGGTTGATTTATTTAAACTAATGATATATAATATATGTGTTGCAGGTCTGGATTCAAATGATTTAAATCCCCCAGTGATGGCCATGAGCAATGGAGCTCATAATGCTCCTGTTCTAGGATCAGTGGGTAGTGATAACTGTGGTAGCTTGCGTTCCTCGTTTACCTGTAATCGTTTGACATCTACTTTAAACAAGACCAATATAAGGTTGAATAACTTTTCCACAAAAAGTTTCCAAACCAGGGTTCAAAAGTTATTCGACATGTACAAAGATGCTGTTGAAGACTTGATATTAATTGACGGAATTGAAAGACTGTGTAGTGATTTACAGATGTCACCTGAAGAATTCCGTATCCTTATATTAGCATGGAAATGTGACGCTCATCAAATGTGTCGATTTACTCGTGCAGAATTTCTTAATGGTTGTCATGCACTTCAAGTAGATTCTGTGTCATTAATGAAAAATAAATTGTCGGATGTAGCAAATGATCTCAATTATAACACAGAGGAATTTAAAAGCTTATACAGGTAAATAGTTGTTACACTGTTTTAATAATAATAGATTTTAAATAAATATTTAATTTACAGGTTTACATTTAAATTTGGGTTGGACAATGCTGTGGGACAGCGTATTCTTCCAGTTGACACCGCCATCATATTATGGAAATTGATTTTTAATGTCCGTGAACCAGAAATATTAGAACGTTGGCTGAACTTTTTGGAAAGCCAAGATAATATAAGAGGTATTCCTAAAGATACATGGAACATGTTTTTAAACTTTGCTGAGTCTGTATCCAATGGGGATCTTTCTAATTATGACGACACAGAGGCTTGGCCAAGCGTTTTTGATGATTTTGTAGAATATGAAAATGATCAAGCCAATCAAAACATTAGCGAAAAAGGAATTGGAAAAAAGCATGGCAGTGTACTTTAAAATAACAGAAAAGACTATCACCAATTTTTTGAGTGTTATTAGACTTAAAAATAATGTTTGACAAACACATTGTTTTGTAATAATAACTTTAAACCATCAATTCATTACAAGCCCGTCCAATATTAATAGAAACCTCTGTGGTCTTATTTATAATGGCAATATTACTTTATAAACAAATCTGAACTTTATGTATATTAAGTTGGACTAGTTAAATTTCTTATTTATTTTTAATTTACCTATAGATCAAAATAAATAATTGCTATTTTTATAACAGTGTCTACTGTTTATATTAATTTACTTAAATGTTTGCATATTTAATTTCATATAAATATTTTTTCAAGTGATTTCTATTGTGTTCAAAAAATATAAACTCTTGTCTCGGTCCTATTAATTGCAACAAATTGGTTCCTTTAAGTATTCCAATCATTATTATTTTTCCACTTAAGTATTTGGGATCGAGAAAGTTTAGCATCTGGTTTTTAGTTCTCAATTTTGAGTGCTAAAATAATTGTTTTGTAAAAGACTGACTGAAGTTGTTAGTCAACAAAAACCTGTGATACTATTCACGCTTGATCAATGACAAGCGTTTATTTCTTGTTAATATGTGCGATTTTTTTTTTCTTCGCTGTAGTTAAGAATATTTAAATATTTTACTAAAATAATATAAAACAAATGTTGGTATAAGTTATAAAATATATGATAATATGTATAATGTATTATAATATTAACGCTACTACAAAAACAAAGTAATATGTATTCTTGAATAATGTACAATGATTAATTTAATTGCAATAATGTATAGATAATTTTTTTAAAGTTTGTTTGGGGTCTTGTTAATTTTACAAAAAAATAATATTTCTATGATATAAATAGTTTATTTATTTCTAAATTTAGTTAATTATTGTAACACAATCCTTCTTTTCATATCTATTTTATGACAATATAATATAATACAAGCCACTAAAATCAAATATTTTTTAATGATACACTCATTATACATAACCCTATGACTAATGCAGTAAGGGAACTAATTTATATTGTAAATATTAGTAATTACGGGTATAATAAAATACGAACACTACTATGATTAATATTATTATATGATGTGTCAAAAACAAAGTATTTTGATAAAAAAATATAATAATTAAATTTATAAGTTTGGGTGTAAATGTGGATAATCTATTAAGTCAACTAGGCGTTTTTAGGACATGTAAAAACAAAATTGGGCGAATGTTTATGCAATTTGAGTGCTATAAAATAAGTGCTGAATAATACTCATTATTGTCATATTATGAGACATGAGTATAGTTATATAAAATCCATTAATTAGGATATTATAATTATACAACCATTATTAATAATTATTTCCCAAATGTTGATGCTCTAATAAGTCTATAAAAATGTCCAAAAGAAATGCATTTATGACATAAAAAAGCAAAAAAATCCCTAAAAAAAAAAATCTGGTAAAACTTGTTTATTATGTTAATGACCTAAATATACATAAGCTATTTAAGATAATCCAATTATTTATCAATTTTAAAATTTAAAATTACAATTTATAAACATGAGATTTTAGTTTAAAATATTTGATTCTTGGTTTTGATAATATGTAAGTTCGTCCAAATTAGAACTTAAAATGTCTGTAAAAATGAACTGTGTTTAACGTTTAGTGCATGGTTGAAATGTACTTTTATATTGTAACCACGGTTTAGTGTTTACTTATATATTTTTTAGATTTGTTGGTGAAAGTATGAACTTTTTATGACAATCTTGTTTTAAATTTTCATTCGTTATTCCTTACAGCAATAAAAATCGAATATTTCATAATTTATAACTAAAATAAATTTCGAAATTTTCGAGATTTTGATCAATGTTGTCAAAATTTGAAATTTAAATAGATATATAAAATTATAAAATAAACATTTTATGAAAATTTCAAGTATTTACGTTTAATACTTTAATAGTTTTAGAATTTAGAATAACAATAAAATAAAGAAATTGTCAAATGAGAATTTATTAATATACAGGTGAATATTCTATGTTTAATTTCAAACGTTCGTAAAAAACTTATTTAACATTCCAGTAAACTTTTTTTTTTTTTGTTAAATGTAGAAAAACCTAATTGGACTTTTTTATACAAATTTTAAATCTCAGCTATACATATAGATACAATTTTATGGATTTCTAAACCAAAATAATTTGTCAATTTTCGTGATTTTGAGGAATTTTGTTAACATTTTAACTTCAAATGCTCTTAAAAAAATAATATGTTTCAATTTTTTTTTAATTTCCACTAACAACAATTTGTGAGGACCGTTGTATTACATTTTCAAATTTTTTATCGACAGTAATAAATTTTAAAAAACTAATAAAACTTTTTTTATGCTCATAAAGAGTTCTATGGTGCATAGAATTGAGTTACACTAAAAATCAAAATTGATTTTTTCGAAAGCTGGTTTTGTGTAAAAATCTTGGTTTTTTCCTTAATCTTTTTGTTTGTTTTTCCTGACGCTTTTAAAAATGATTGGGAATTTTTTACTTTTGATCCCCTAAAGTACCATCTAGATTTACTTTCCTATCATAAAATATGCTGTTGAAGAAAATCGAAGCAATTTTATGGTGGCCCAAAAGTCAAAAAACGACGACAGACACAAAAAAAAACACATTGTAAAATCAATACATTCATCACTCCACTCAGAATCTAAAATAGGTAGGTAATATGGATTTGTGATTTAGATATTATCATTAATGATCTATCACAATTTTTGAAATAAGGTTTAGGTAGGTACACACTATACAGAATGGTTTATTCAAAACAAATTAAAAAACAAAATTGTTATTTTTGAATTTTTACCTTTTGTCGGGACACCCTTCACTCAAATACGGGACAATCTCGAAAAATACTGCACAAATGGGATGCTTAGCCGCTTACTGCTTAGGTACTTGCAGACTACAGTAAGTACGTAGAGGCATATTAGTGAATTACCATTGATATAAATACTATAACCTATACCTAACCTTATAGTATTTATAATCAACAGGGCCGGCGTTAGGGAGAGGCAAAGCGAGGCATTTGTCCAAGGCCTGGCAATCTAGCTCTCAAAATGTCCATAGAAAAATATTTTATATGGAAATCTGGTAATAAAACAAAATAACAATATTATAGTTTATTAAATATGTATGCACCATACTGAGACTAACTGAGTTCAGTGGTATACTGATATACAGTATACAATACACTATGCACCAACGTCGACATAAGGTTTAGCAAACCCGGGTTCCTAGAAAGATTATCGCAGTCATTACCCGATGTCCTGATATCGTGAGTAGCTGTCAAATTGTCAGTCGTCACCACGTCTAACTATATATTATGCAATTATTTAACGTACCTATTTTGAATGGTCATTTAGAACTTTTAAAATCATTTAAAATGAGTAGTGGCTTTGAATCTTCAAAAATTAAGCTACCTAATGAAATAGCAAATGTCATGAATATTGATAAGACATTTAAAAAGAAGCGTTTTAAAAGGACAAAAAAACAATTTAATTATAAAAATTCTAATGAAGTAAATGACGATCCAGGAAACAATATCCGAACATTTTATTTTAATGTAATTGCCGTTGGAGCTATATTGTCATTTAGTGAACGATTTAATCAATTTCAAATTTATAACAACAATTCCAGTTTTTTATACATTATTGGTGCACTCCTAAAAATAACTAATGACGACCTTATGAAGAATTGTTTAGATTTGCAAAATTTACTAGTGTATCGTTGCATACAACGAAAAAAGATTCTACGCCTATAGTACTTTTTTTTTTTTTATCTAAAAGCAGTAGATAAAATTACAGAACCTTTGTACCTTTGTATACCTTAGTATACTTGTATGTTTTTAAATTGTAAGTCGACAAGTGTAATACGTTCTAAAGTATAATCATCCAAAAGTTAAAAAATTAATATTTACCTACTAATGTATTTTTATTTCAATAATTACAATAAGAATCATAGGTGTAACTAGGGTTAACATTTTGGGAGGTCTTAAGCCTTTTAATATAAAATTATTTTATTTGGGACCCACATTTTTGATGATTTTTCGCCTTTAATTACACTTATGTCCTATGCGCTATATAGGTGACTATGGTTATTACTTATTGGTTAAATAAGTTTTGCCCAGGTCCTCTCAAAAAGTAGCGCCGGCCCTGATAATCAATGATATTACGTAGGTATGCATGTACAATGTTCATTGGTTTTATAATACAGTATATTATTATTTACTATAAAATCAATGCCCAATGGTACCTAAGTGTTTTTAACTTTCGTATATTTATCAATAAATTATAAGTCAGTATATGTTCGTTTTGTCCAGTACCAAAATTATTACAAATACACAATGCACATCAATTTTTTTTTTTGGAAGTCGACAAAATGCATTCCAAACCTCCCTAAAAATAAACCCTTGAATTACCCAGCCAGCCAAGCAGTGGAGTAGCCAGGGGGTCGCTAAGGGGGCTATAGCCCCCCCCCCCTATTGACCGTAGATAACCTTAGAACTTTATCAAGATTAATAAAAAAATAAAAAGTGTAAATAAAAGACATATTGTATTTGTATACTTAGCCCCCCCCATACAAAATTCCTGGCTACGCCACTGCAGTCAAGCACTGATTATTAATTATTATGTCAAATGATTAAAATTATTTTAGCAATTGCCGAAACGTGCAGGTCCAAGTGCCTACCATAATACATAATATATTAATATAATGCGTAGGAAGTAGGAAATAGCAAGTCGTGTAGTTAGCACCAAAGTCTACGGTTAATATTTAATACCTAATCAGGGTTGGACTAGCCCACCGGGATACCGGGAAATTTCCCGGTGGGCCGCAGCAAAAAGTGGCCTACCGGCGTACCGCCGTAACTATTAATATATTATATTGGACCTCGAGTCCATGGTGGTTATCTTAATTTGATAAAAGAAAATTTATTTCAATCGTTATTTTATGGAATTTAATATATTTTATATCAATTTAAATTGATAAAAGGACAGAAATAATTATTGTATTATTATGAACAAAATTAAACTACCTAGTCTTTATCACGGTCGGATACGGTGTGATATCAATGATGATAACAATTGTGGCCTCAACAATTATATTATTAAGAGGACGCCACACCGAAAGCGAAACGTAAACAACGACCGAGAGAACGCGCTGTTAGGTGTTTTCGCGATGCGCAAGCACGCGACGTTTAAGCCGCGCCCACTACTCGTCGTCGGCGGCCGGCCGACGATTGTGCTCATTCGGGAGCAACGTTTATTACTTTCTCAACCTTCGTTTGTGGCAGGTCGCGTAAATATAAAATGCATACACGTTACACGTACATTATGCCGCATTGCCACCGTAATATTTTTAATATTCGCGCATACTTACGCGACCTGTATTTATTGCGTAATAGAACTATATTAGTTTTATATTGAGTATATTTTGAATGTTAAAGCTATAATTTTGTATTTTTGTAATAATATGTGTAGGTACCCTACGTAGCAATTAGGCAAATAGGGAATTCTATGTCAGCAAACAATCCACATGCTTCAACTGAAACACCATATAATTCTTCATACTTTTTTCTGGCTTGACGTTAAATTTCAATACCATATGTCATTTCTTTAGTCGTTGTATTAGGTCTATAAAGTAGGGAGTAAACTTTTTTTTTACAACTTGTAATCGCGCGAGAGGTACCTACATTATTGTTCACGGACCGCCGTTCAGAACGTTTCGTGTCAATGCAGTAGACCGTTTCTTATATTTTTATTTCGCAAATTTATTTCTAAGCACACGCCACACTCGCTCCTGAATCCTGGCTTTGCATTCACTAGTCACAACTTACTAGTTGTTATTTAATTTAATATGTGTACAGATAAATAAAGTACAACAACTTTTATAGAACAGCATTTACATATTTTATAGTGACGAAATAATCCTGAATGCTACCAGCTTACTTTCTGTATATTTCTAAAATTTGTCCGTTCTTAATTACTAATTGATATAATTACCAAACATACTAAATATATTATACAATAATTCGTTTTAATGTTTTAATAATATTATTTTTTGGTTCTCCGATAATAATGCACACATTATTTTTTTTTTATTTTAATTTTCTCCAATATTCGGTCTGGTTCTAGTATATCTGATTTCAACATACGTTTCGGAAATTGAGAATTGATTATTTCCGGCAACAAACATTCCAAATAAAACCTATTACATAATAAATAATATATGTTACATGAGGTATTTTAAAATTCGATTAGATATTTAGATTAATTAGATTTAAAAATATGAAAATAACAATATATATTAGCTATTTAATAAAAATAGTTATTACATTTTCAATTGTTTCTCCATTTTATCCATCCAAAAGTTATTATCATATTCGATTTCTTCGATATTAATCCAGTTTTTTGTATATACTACGAAAAAACATTTCTGTCGACAAGTTGCTCGTAGTTGTCCCATGACTTGGTAGAAATACGAGTGGTCTCTTTTTAAAATAACTTTGTTGTCTACAACTTTGCAGTATTTCAACTGTAATTTTATTAAATTACAAATAAGACAATGAAGTATTTTTTAAAAATAATAATGGTTAATAATTTGTTATATTTTGTTAATAACTTATAGTTTTAGGTAATAAATTAATATAAATTACAAATCATAGTAACACCTGTTTATTATTTATGGCATCGATTGCATTTTCTGTATTCTGGGCTGAATATGGACACTTGATTTCAATCAAAGCGTCTTTTCCAATCAACCCATCTGAAAGTATACAAATTTGTTGATAGATCGTAAATTATGTAAAATGAAAAAATATAATTTAACAATTAATTTAATTTATACATTATTGCATGTTCACTAAAAAAAATACCTGGACTTGCTGCTAGGAATGGAATTTCAGGATCAATAACTAAGCCACATTCAATCACTTTTTTAGTAGTAATTTCTTCAAATTTTTGACGAGCGTTTGCCTCCATATTTCTTCCATATTCTAAAGATTTTGTGTAAGGTTCCGTTCCATATAAAATATTATATACCGTATTTTTACAACTTGTATTAGATCGCATTTTGCAAATTTGACCGTATCTGGAAGCTGTAAGACGTGTTTTTCGTTCTTTGAACCAAATTTGAGTGTTACTTTGTCCTCTCGTATCTTTTTCAATTTGTGAAAAATTAGACCGACTTAATGTTTCCAGGAAATTTGTTTTTTTTTCTTCAATCTCTTTTTGAGAATACGAATCAATAAGAGGTTCAGCCATGCCGTAATCTGCATCTGGTCCATCTGAACGTTTAGTTTTATTTTTTCTAATTTCTGGAAATAATTTCCTCCTTTTCATAGTGTTGGCTCTTTTTCGATCGTAATTTAGAAGAAATCGCTTTCCAAATTTACCTTAAATATTTATGATTAAAAGTATATTGTACTAAATAATACCAGTTAATAGTTATCATATCATAAATCAATACCAATGAAATAATAAATTAATAATTTAGTTTACCTGGACTACAGTTAGTTATCGTTTTGTGAATTGTTCTTAAATATTGCTTTGAATTAAAAGATACAACAGCTGCCTCCACTCTTGTTGTATAACTACCTTTTCCCGAGAAATTCAATCTTTTACCTGCTACGAACTTGTTTATTAAAGCATTGAACTGTTCGCATATATTATTATTTTTGTTCTCTAACAAACTATCTGCGTTAGATACAAGCCGCGATGTATAATTTTTTATTTCATACATTATTCCAGAGGTTTCAGCCTCGGGAACCAAGTTTTGTTCGTTATTTTTCGACCCGTCACAAAAATAAGAACTACAATTTATATGTTGGCCAAGTCGATGGTATGGTGCATTCGCAATATCTTTTTGTATACCTACAATATGAAAATACAATTAATTTTACTATATTTTATTTATGAATTATGTATGAATTATTTTGTTGATTTGTTTGGTTAATTTATTACAATACAAATAACGTTTAAAAAAAAAAAAATATAATGTTTAGTTACAAGCATTCAAAAATTATAAGAAGGTACCTAAATATATATATATTAGAAATACACTAATACCTTTAATTTTTTGTAATTTAGTGATACCAATTTCATTTTTCCAGTGTAAAACAGACTTTGTCACGTCTCCTCTAAACCGCAAAATATTTCCTAAAATAAATTTACGTATTCGGAGTGGAAATTTTGTGTTTCTGGCTAATGCTGTAAGTTTAGTAGCATAATTCCGCATCATATGATTTCGGCACTCTATTTTACGAATATGAAAATTTGGGCCATACGGTTGACATTCATTCAAACGTTTTGTGACACTACTGTCCCCGTCGCCTATTAAATTTTTGTATACAAATAGTTATAGAAATTATTAGTTTTTATAAATTGTTTAAGATTTATTTTGATTTTACCAATTAAACAATTATACTTCAGCCCATGCATTTCTATGCTTTTGCTAAAACCCTCGAGCACACCATCCGCTTCCATACTAGTTGAAGATTTATGCCAATTAAGAAATCATAATATTATATAGTAATTCCACAGCGTATTCTGTCATATGGTGACTACGACGGTCGACGACATAATTAAGTGTAGGTAGCTTATAAATAAGTTTAGATATGGTCTATACTCTGTTCAAAATAAGAAACCTAGACGGCGGCGACGAGTTTTCGTCGGGCGGCGGTCAGACGCCGTCCCCACTACAGCGACGCGTCGGGCGCTACCACGGAAAAAAGCCACGCCCATGCGCACAACTCGGCCGCCGTCT